AACAGGTCTCCTTGTATAAGAAGCTCCAAGTGTATGAACGAATTAGCAAACATTGTACGTTGAATACGGTGAAAGACAAAATGCATTTTATCTCGAATTGTACCGTCTATAGCAAGGAAGGAAATTAACTCTTAATTGACGTACTAGCCTCCAAATCCTACCCAAACTTTCACACATATACAAATGAAAACTACTCTCCTCATAACAGTCGAAGATCCACAAATTACAGAAAAACTTAAAGTGGGATCCTTTGTCTTCCTCTGTCTTCAAAAAAGAAGTCAAACCCAGTAGTTTTTACTAGTAGTTTCTTAGTAGTTATCAGTAGTTCTGTGTGTACTAATTGTCTGTTTTTTAATACGAAATGTTTCGTTTGTTCCTGAAATTAGCCCTCGGGCATGAATTTGCAATAAAACATTCGTTAACACCTGGTCAGGATTTCGTCTCCTGTTTGGAGGTAGTTTGGGGAGAAATAACATGTAGTATCCATGCCCTGGCTGACCTTTTGACCTCTTAATCTGTCCTGCTGGGCAGGTGTCAAGCCCAGAGGTTAGACTCTCCAAGCAGATCCTTAAGGACAAAGACATTGCGAAAACTGTGTATGCACGCGAGCGCAGAACTGCATACATGTACATAGAATTTTTCTTGTATGTAAATCAGCCTGCTTTGATGATGTCAAGAACGTACGTTTAGATCTTAATTATGTTTCCTTAATGAGAGTTAGCATAAGATCTGAATGTACGTTTTTGACATACATTTGTACATCAAAAGCATACAAAAAAATGCAGTTTTTGTACCCTAACGTTTTCACACACACACACACACACACACACACACACACACACACACACACACACACACATTATTAAATTATAATTATTTACCTTGGACAACGATACATGTAAATCTGAAATGTGGCTCATCCTAGATGAAATGTCATTTTCATCAATTTTTTCATTTTCTCCATTTTGTATAACATTCTGGACTGAACATCTATATCTGTATTCAATAATCATAAGACCTATAGAATGATATTTTTGACTTTTTGATACAACATTTGGTAACATTACGAAATATGCAAACAGTTCCAGCATTATTGTCATAATTTATTCTGTATCACGATCAAAGCATAGCATTCTGCACAGACAGCCTAAGGCCATTTCTTTTGTACTTCCTGTAAACATTAATCAAGAAAGAATAACTGTGCATCACAGAAGTACAATTATCTGTAAATGTTTCCATATGCCCATACTGTCATGTAAATGCCAGGCACAACAGAACCAATGGCACTAACATTTAATGCAATCTTTTTAATCTAGTCCTCAATCATTATTCCAAGTCCTGTGATATTTTCTCTCAAAAGAAAGCATTTGAAGGATATTGAGAAATGCCAGAGGTTGTCCAACAGTTCTAGTCACAGGGCTCAAAATACGTTTTTCTACATTATATACTAGTACCTGCAATGGTGCACGTAACATTGAAAATTACCTGCACCACTCAGAATTTAGGAAGTACATGTACATATATGGATTACACTGAAGGCAGTTAAGAAATCATTGCCATTATTTCTTTTGTTTACATGTAAAAAAATTAGGTAGTAACAGCCAATACTGCAAATAAAATTCACATATACCTATAGCTACTTGTACATGTATATACTGGTATACATGTAAGCCCAATACATGGACTGGTGCAGGTTAGGTACAGTAGGCATCAGAAATATACATATTTTACATTGTGTATACCTGCACAGCTTCAATTTTATCTCTACTAGCATGCATACTAGTAATATGCAGGTGGTATTTGGAGCCCTGAGTCAGTTCCCACTGCAATTTTTGTGGAAGCCATCTGGTGTTTATTTCATTCATGACTGTCATAATTTTATTACATAAGCCACAGTTCATTATGACAGATTGTCCCCTCCATAGCGTGTAACAGAAACTAATGAAGTAACAATGCAAATTGAAAGCTGTTTGCCAGGAAAAAAGATGTTGTACATCCCTTTATTCAATGCTGACATCCCCAGTAACTTTATTATGTAAAGTACAATTATGACAGATTGTTCCCTACTTAATCAATTCCACTAGCGTGTAAAAGAACCAAATGGAGTAACAATGCAAATAAAAGCGTTTGTCAGACTAAACTCTGATGAGAGTTTCTGTAATCAAATTTCATGCCAGTTTGTCACATCTGCTGTTTTAGACTTCTTGTTACAGGACACCTACTTTGCCATATTGTTGTAATTTGGATCAGGATTGGGAATGGGTTGCCATCTGGTTTTCGTTAGTTCATCAGGTTGACGTTGTGCCAACTTGTAACAATTTTAATTCTCAGGAGGCAAAAGCCATTTGTCAAAACTACATAAAAGATGATGACTTAGGTCATGTTTCTAAAACTGTTTTATTGAGGAATCACAGTAGCCTCTACCAGGCTTCGGAAGTGGCTGTAAAGAGTAGAAATTGGCCAAATAGACAGATGATATGCCAGGGGAGTTGGTCCGCTAAAGGAGTACATTTGCTGCACTTGAAAATGTACATGTACTTTACTTTAGCGTACCAACTCCCCTAGCATGTCTGTCTTTTGGGCCAATTTCTACTCTTTCCAGCCACTTCCGAAGCCTGGTAAAAGCTAGACTGATTGCAATTTCCAATTTACATTTTCCCTCTCATACTATTTAAAAAGATAAGAGATTATTCTATTATTATATATTTCAATATTCATAAAGGCCATTTATGGTGAATATGGTAAAAATGGTGAATGAAGTATTGTATCATTTCCTGAAAACTACCACAACTTTTTTGGTGTTTTTTTAAAGCTTTTGTTTTGTCTTTTATCAACCGGTAGAATCATGAGTGGTTGGTTCACCTTGACCTTTTGTTGACCTGTCCTGTCAGCCATGTTGTTCCCATCACACCCTGACAGGCTGTCATTATCCATGTTAAATGTGGTGTGAAGGTGGAGATGGAAGCGATACCGACACATGTACTTGTCTAGTGTGTGTCTCTCACTAAAAGTTTCAAGGACTTGCACATTGCTGTCACTCATGAAATGTGCACAAATACATGTACATTGTACTAGTAAAGGCCACACCAATTTAATTTCTTGGTTAACGGATTCGCCCACTTCATTTTTTTCTTATTTGCAAAAAAAAAAAAAAATTCAGAATCAAATGCAAAATGCTCATATTTTGCCCTGAACAGTTGAAAATAGTTCTTTTCTTCCTAGTTGTTACAGTTATTCTAGCTATGGAAGGAAATCTTTGGTGCTCATGTTTTTAACTATCAAAGAAGACCTTTGATGTTTAGCCTGAGTTATTCCATCTTCCAATGCAGTGGTATCATTAAAAGTTCAAAATTCATTGTTTAAATTTTGAACCAGTCTGGTGTGTTGACTTCATTGCTCCTATCGTACCATTTTGTGCCAAAATTTTTCACCCGCCCGCTTCATTATTTTTCTAGAAAAATCCATTAACCAAGAAATAAAATTGGTGTGGCCTAAGCTAGATTTTAGTCAAGAACCCTTTGATACTTTGTACAGCATCACAGGAAAATTAATTTCTTACTCCAAGCAGATGATACGAGGAAAGATATTTCCTGGCAGCCCTTTAGATATCATTCTTGGCATTTTGAATAGCTAGCAATGGCAAATATAAACAGTTACATGTACCTCACTGGTTGCCCCATGAGTTAAAATGGCCTTTCATTGATACAATTTAAAAGGCACTGTGGTTTTTAGTCTGTAGAAGTGAACTGTATAAGGCAAGAGCAGGATGTGAAACCAAATCTGGTAAATATAGTCTCATTCAAAGGCATTACGCTGCTAGTATTACACATTCATGTATAGACTCTGCTTTCTGATTCAGTGTTGCACACAGGATATATGTGGTATTGCATTTAGGAATTTGCTGATGAATCGGTATTGTGGAGTGGTATTGAAGGATACCAGAGCCATGGCAATAGGAAAGGCTCACCCAGTCAGTTGTAAACGTCAGTTCACCTTTGACACTTTGTCAAACACGGACCATTGTTATCTGAGCGGTTGTTGTGTCGATGCTTTATGTCTACAGGAAGACAGTTGATAGCCATGTTTACAAACATATCAATCAGTAAATCTTTGTTCCTGTTATAGATAACTATTTATTTGTTTAAGCTTCCAAATTTACAAGGCCAGAGTTAGCTTTAGAACTGGCTTGTAACTAAAGTTTTGTATAATAAGTTCCAACTCTGTGAGGTTTATAAATTTTAACTCTGTGATGTTTACAAACATATCAATCAGTAAATCTTTGTTCCTGTTATAGATAACTATTTATTTGTTTAACCTTCCAAATTTACAAGGCCAGAGTTAGCTTTAGAATTGGCTCGTAACTACATTCTTGCATAATAAGTAACTTTTAAGTTAAAAAAGGCAGTCTTCCAACTCTGTGAGGTTTTTAAAATTGTGATATAGCGTGCGCAGTAGCATTTTTTATTTCAACCAAAGGGAAGAGGTACTCAGGAAATATATATGAAGGAAATTTTTGCCAGGTCCGTCTTTCCAAGCTATTTAGAATTGCTTTCATGGACCAACTCGCTGAAGACGCTGGGGTGAGGGCCGAACATCTGGGGCAGCTGATGGCGGACAGGGCAGCATGGAGAGAGAGAGTGGACTCGGTCCGGGCAACACGCCCGACCTGATGATGATTCATGGACCTCACATAACTATAGTTCAATGGTTATTGGTTCGAGCCTAATTTTTCCATATGTTGTACTTGAAGATATGGTACATGATAATAAATGCAGTATATCTTTAAGTGCGGCAATACTAGTATACACCAACATCATAATCAATGATTCAACATAGAATTTTGATTTAACAGTGACTTTCTGGTATAGTTTTTTTTTGTGTGTGTGTGCACAAAGCTCCTTGGCATTAATACATGACATGTTGATCTTCATGTTTTATAGATTTTATAGTTTAGTTGATTGATTGATTGATTGATTGATTGGTTTTGTATTGATCCACAGAAATCCAGTAAGGGACAGGTGCTCCTGGATCTTGTCTTCAAGAAGCTCCATCTGTTAGAGAAAGACTTTTTTGGCCTGAGGTACCTGGACAGTCAGGACCAGACGGTGGGTTACTCATCTTCTTTTTTCTTCTTTTCCTCCTTAAGGAAAACCTTAACTCCTCCACAAAATAAAGGAATGGTGACTTTTGAGCCTATTTTCTGATGCTTGAAGAAAATGAAAGAAAGAGAATAAAAGAAAGAAAATGTAAAATCTATGAGTGCAACAACAAGCACAGTATAATATGATGTACAATGTCATGTATAGGATGCCAATGCATTAATGCACTTAAATACTTTGTACCATCTAAATATTCTGTAATGTACCTAAATGAAGATATAAATGAATTTATAGGATTAGAATGAAGTATAATTTTGATTATCAATCAAATTTTGTAAGCAAGTGGAAAGAATGGTGAATAACTTTGAGTGCTTCTCTCTGTATTTTGAACCATCTACATGTATGATGAAGTGACATCTTCATTATCATGAACTGGTGGGGTCATACTGAATCTTGTAGCAGCTTCTCATTCTTACATGTATCTTTGTGACATTTTGTTACAGCACTGGTTAGAGCCAACCAAGCCCTTCAGTGATCAGATGGAAAGTAAGTACACTAACTTACATTGACATGTATATAGCTGTTACTTCCAACTTTGAAACTTTGAAACTTTATTAGAATAACCATTAGCGGTGGACCCTAGGGTCCACCGCTAGTCTTCCTGGTATTCATACATACAGACATTATACAAACATAGTTGACAACTGGACAAGTCACAAAACACATCTAAATCAATTAATAACATATTTACAATATACATCATTTAAAAAATTGACAATCCTGTCAAACAGTGCTTGTGACCTACTGATGGAGGTATTTGTGCAAACCGTCCTTAAAGACTCTCAGGGATTGTGTGGATTGCATGACAATTGGAAGGTTATTCCACACACTAACAGCCCTGTACATGAAACACTTCAGCAGTGCGTTAGTTCTAGGTTTGTCTAACAGAAAAGACTGTTTAGCAGCAAAACGGGTTCTATAGCTATGCAAGTTGTTGACAGAACGCAGTTGCCTACTGATACAAATAGGTTCGTTAGTGAGTGTTATCCTTTTAAATGTTGTCATGGTGTTTATTAACAATCTCGTGTGCACAGGTTTCCACTGTGGCTTCGACTGAAACAGACGAGTTGCCTTGTTCTGCATTCGTTGTAGAAGGTTTATGTTAGTTTTAGTTGTGCATGACCAAACTGGGCTACAATAATCAATGTGAGATAGTACAAGGCATTCTATTAAAATTTTTAACAATGTCTGATCCATAAAATGTGCGCATCTTTTGATCATCCCCAGTGATCTAGCCATTTTCTTAGATGTTAATTGATCTTTTAAATGAACAACTCACTGGCATACGATGATAGATATATAATTCATACATCCCTGCCACAAGGCTAATGTATTTAATTTAAATTTATTTCAGAACGAAAAATAAGAAACAAAACTGACAAAAGGTTGTGTAACTTATTTTGTGTTGTCTGCAGCCCCCCCACCCTACCGTCTATACTTCGGAGTGAAGTTTTATGCCGAGGACCCGTGTAGACTTCATCAAGAAATCACAAGGTAATCTTCCTCCCAGCCAGTGTTATAGACAACCTCTCAGTATCAGGGGCTGATTCAGGTCCTCCTTCTCACGGCCTGACCAGTGGAGGGGCTGCTAGAAGCCTGATGTAGTCAGGCTACATTTCACCAAGCTTGTGCATAATGAATGAATGAACGAAAGACCTTTATTATACATTTTTGCTCATTGCGAACTAAGTACAGGTCACGGCAAATAGCGATGGTAGTCTTCATCTATTAGTATTATAATAGTAAAACTACATATGTACAGGTTCTGCTTCTTCTCGCTCCTTAAGACAGATTGTAGAATTGTAAAATCAGATGGAGCTAAATAATATTTATGTAAAATATAAAATCAATGGTCAGAAAAGACATGAGCAGCTTGGAATGGAAAAGTGAAGGTTGTTAGACACTCCAATCTTCTTAATTTATTTAATTCCTTTTTGGCTACTGAGGGCATACTACATGTCGTTGATTGTAGTTCTTTGATTCGTAACTTGGTAGAAAAAAATCAGTAAAATTCATCCCCCAGTGCAGGGTACCTGTATTGTCTTCAGGTGAGCCAAAACATTCCAGCCTTCCAAAACATGTTTGCTTTTTTGCAGGTACCAGTTTTTCCTACAGGTAAAACAGGACATCTTGCAGGGGAGACTGCCATGCCAGGCTAACGAGGCAGCACAGCTGGCTGCATATGCTGTCCAATGTAGGTGCCAAGAAAAGCATTTTTAGGCCATACCAATCTAATTTGTTGGTTCTCGGATTCGCCTGTTCATTTTTTTCTGATTTGCAAAAAAAAAAAAAAAAGATTCTGGTTCTGAATCGTGAATCAATTCAAAAATGCTCATATTTTGCCCCTAACATTGAGAAAAGTTTCCCTATGCAGTGGTTGGATTAAAAGTTCAAAATTCATTGTTTAGATTTTAACCCAGCCTTTTGTGTTGACTTCGTGGCCCCTATTGAAGCATTTGGGGCTATAATAGGATGCCTAGACCTGTTTTTATTTTTATCTTTTTTTTCGCCCTGTTTTTTCGCCTCATATTTTTTCTGAAAAAATCCGAGGACCAACAAATTAAGATGGTGTGGCCTTATCAGAAACATTGTATTTAAAGTGCTTTAAAATCAAGGTGCATCTGTTTGGGTGTTACATGTAAGTGGTAATAAACAGGATGCCATTGGCTGTCTAATTATTAGGGCTTTGTTATAACTCCGTTTACTGCTATATGACAGCAGTTTCTCCCTAATCATGGTGCCACCATGCCAATAATCATACTTTTACTAGTTTTAGTCCTCTGAACAATTTTGCCAGAAACTCCCCTGCAGTTCCAGGACAAGCTGCTATGAGGACCAATCCTACATCATTTATTCCTGGCACAAAAAGCTACATGTATCTGCTACCAAAAAATCAAGACCGAAAATTAGCATGTCTGGAATGAAGGATACAAAAAAACGGAAATTCTGCTGCAGTACCAATGTTGGCCTCCAGGAGGCCCCGTTTGACCTTGATCTTTGTCTTCCTAAGACCTACAAGACCTTTGTAACCATTCTTTGTACATGTAAGGTACTGCATTACAAATATGCAAGATACGTTAGATGTGCATTAGATGTAGCTCAAACTTCCACAATTAGTTAGATGAACAAACAAGTGTTTATTACCTCCATGAAATGTGTCATGGAGGTTATATTTTCAGTTGCGTTTATCTGTCCGTCCGTCCGTCTGTCTGTTGGTCAACAAGATAACTCAAGAACGCCTGGATGGATTGGTTTCATACTTGGTGTGTTGGTAGGGTGTGACGAAAACTGGAAATGATGAGATTTTGGTCCCCCTAGTGGCTTCCCTTGGTACTGCAGCGCAACTTCCGGTTTTGATATCTCGCGATCTGGACATGCTAGGGTCATGAAATTTGGATGATAGGTAGCTCTCGTGCTTGGGAAGAAGTCACATGAGTTTGGGCCCCCTAGCGGCTTGTTCTGGAACTGCAGGGCACTTTCTGGCGAAATGTTTAAAAGCCAATAAGTCCAGACAGGAACAACATATTTTCATTATTTTTGGTGTGTAGGTAGCTGAGAGAGATGTACATAATTAAATGCAAATTATGCAAATGAGGACTTTATTTGCATAATTAATGAGGAAATTCTATAATTACTGTGTTTTACATTATACTATGTAACCTATGGCAGGCGGAACTTCAACAGATACTAATTATGCAAATGATGACCTAATTTGCATAATTAATGCGAAAATTCTATGATTTCGTAATGGTGAATGATGAGAATGTCATACTTGGGACATCTGTAAGTTAATCAAAAGTTAACATACATCACGATGCATATATCATGTTAATGCAGAGGTCATTTAAACAATTTTACATATCAAGATCATATTTCATGGAGGTATGAGGTCTCGGAATTCTAGTTGGTTCTGTTTTCTGTTTTTTAGCGGAGCTGGGTGACTTTGACCCCAGGAAGCACACGGGGAACTACGTGTCAGAGTTCAGGTTTGTCCCCAATCAGACAGAAGAAATGGAGAAGCGCATTGCCAACATTCACAGAGATCTCGTGTAAGTTATCATCCATTCACACTCGGGAATGTCTTAAGGTATCTTTGCAGAAAAAAGCAACAATATATCTTTTAAGATGTATTGTTCAAACAATATATCTAAAACTGGATTTTGTGGTCATGTTTTAATAATAGTTACAGTTAGTAAGCTAAATCAACCATTTCCCATAGCATATATATTACATAACATTTACATCTTGAAGGCAAAAATACAGTGTCCCTGACAGTAAATTTTGTATTGTAGGCTGATTGATAAAACGTTGCACAAGTGGTTTTGAAAATATAATTAATGTCCTAAGTTTTAAGATGATAAGCTGCAGTGTATAACTGTCGGATCACTAGAAATGGCCAAAGTCTAATAAACAAAAAGAAAGAAAAAAGGTACAGCTGTAATTCCTACCTAACGAACCTACTTTTTTTCAGGACTGAAACAGGAAACAACTTTTTTTCTCTAGGCCTTAATTAACATGTAACATCTGTGTCCATAATATCACCAGGGTCCATAATATCACCACCTTGAGAAATAGTGAAAGATATTTTTACTGCAACATACCCTAGGTATGTACATTTGATGTGTGAAGGAGTGCATACCAAACGTATGTTGCAGTAAAAATATCTTTAAGCACACTATTTCTCAAGGTGTCGATATTATGGACCCTGGTGATATTATGGACACAGGTGTTAACGTTTGTATCTCCCTCAGCGGTCAGGTGCCGTCAGAAGCAGAGCTGAACTACCTGAGTCTGGGCAGGGTGCTGGAGATGTACGGAGTGGACCTGCATCGTGTAATGGTGAGGATTCTTTCAGTTATGTCTTAGTCTAGTAACCCTGCTTTGAAAGTACATGTACAAGGTTGGGCAACGTCCTTGAGTTGGGGGTTCGAATCTCAAGGTGCTAGAGATGGTTTATTTCTAATCGTTCAGTGTTCAAGTGAACTATCTCAAAGTTTTAAAAGAATGACTTAAATATGATACATGTAGTTAGTGCCTTGACTAGTACTTACACTAAAGTCTAGATGGGATAAGATGCCTGTAATAGATGCTATAGATACATTGCAAAGACAAGACCTAATAGAAGTTGAAAAATCATTAGTGCTATGAAATCACCCCAGAAAAAAATACTCAGTCTGAGCAACATTTACTGTACATATAAAATTGTAGTTAAAATTACCATGAAAAGTGTTGTACATTATTAGTATGTTGATAAACACTGCAAGTAACTATTTTCATTATTTTATTTTGCCAGGGTGATGACCATGTACAGTATTACTTGGGGCTCATGCCCAGAGGGGTGGTGGTTTACAAGAACAAGACAAAAGTCGGCATGTATTTCTGGTAAGACTGTCTTTCTCTGTAATGTTGCTATAATCATATATTTTAAGTACTATTCTGTGGTTGATGGTGTAAACATAGATTGCTATCAGATGTGTTATTAAAGTTTACATGTATTACTCTTTTGTTTGATAGCTTGGGTATATGCATTGTAGAAATGGTTATTCCTCTAGACTTTGTTTGCATGCTTGTCATAATAACAGTACTGTAACACAGTTATAAAGGAATAGCAATAATGGTGTTTCACAGTACCATGATTGTATTGATTTGATACGACTTATTATGCCATACCTGGGCCATGATAATGATACGGGTGTTCTACATTGTAGCTCATATTATACCATGGTATCACACGGTTATCACATGGTTATCACATGGTTATCACACGGGCTTCCAAGTGTTCCATAGAATGGTTCACTTCACCTTTGCTATTTCCAACAATTTGAATAGTACCTGATTTGGATGTTGGAATTGATGTTGTTAACATTTTTTTGTTTAAGGATACTAGATTTTGAATTTAGACAGACCAGGTAAATAATCATGTTTCTGTCTTGTTTACAGGCCAAGGATAACCAAAATCTTGTTCAAGGACAGGCAGTTTTTTCTCAGGGTTCGGACAAAAGATGTGAGTAAAAGACAATGAACATTACAAAGTATTATATAATATTAAATAATATTATTGTGTCAAATTTTGACTAACTCTAAAGTATACTTTATGTGCTTTATGTGCTTTATTAATACTAGTACTACTGTACACATTTGAAATGTTAAAAGTTTTGGGTTAGCTCTGTAATCAAACCTAAAACTAAATTTTGATTTTAATTTGTAAATAATGGTTTCCTTTTATATTTCAATATACAGGTATTATGTGTGTTTCAATTCAAAACTAGAATGTTGTTATTTTTGCATATTATTTGTATTTGAACCTTGTATTAAAGATTATCCATTAGGCAAAAGGGCTTTGGAAAATAAAGGGAGAATATTTTTGTTTGGATTCACATGTAAGAATGTGATGTGTCTGTCTTCCAGAATGATGAAATCACGTACACATTTGAGCTGTCAAACCGGGCGGCCTGCAAGCACCTGTGGAAGTGCTGTGTGGAGCATCACGCCTTCTTCAGGTACGGAAATAGTCAATGTTATTCCAAACTGGTTTAGCTCACTGAAGAGCTAGTCCTAAACTCAGGTCATGACAGGGAAGACATACTAGCTTGACAATGTATGTATTTGTATAATACTCCGTATGCCGCTGGACTCACTCCCACAAAAGGTCTTCAGTGGCTTAGTGTCGCGTTCAGCAAAAACTCAAACCCAGAAAAGGTAGACCACGTGAAGGTCTCCCTAGTAGCCTTGTCGACGACTGTTAACTCTATCTCAATCATAACATCAGACTCGAGTCTTACATACTGAAACATCTTAGAGACTTAGCAAGAGACAAACGCAGATGGATTGAACTGTACAGAGACATACACTGATTTGGCCTGTCAATTGTAGTTTGCTAATTGTAGTCTGCTAATTTACAGCCAAGAACAGTTATTTATATAATTATTATTATCTACTAGTATATGTAGGAAAGAGGAAAAGAAGGAGGGGGAGTCAGGAAATAACAATTTTTTGGGAAAACAGTTATGAGAGGCCTAGAATAGATGGTTTTGACTTAGGAAGGAGCACTAAGACAAGTGCTGAACAGAAGAGCCAGTGGAAAGCAGTGATGGTGTTAGAAAATGCTGGTAGCAATCATTAAAAACACGAACTAGTGTCGCAAAACAAAAATTAGCAGCTCTTTGCCCTTTGCCGGTGTTGAAGTGTCAAACTATGGAATACTGTCACCAGTCTAAAGCAGACCTTAGTCTACAAACGTATTAGTAACCATAAGACTACCTTCAGTTACCACTGTGGCTTGAAGTTTTACTATACATGATTGTGTACTTAAGACCATTGTTGAAAAGGTTCATCAGTCACGTAAAATTAACAGTTAGGCCATGTTGATTTGATTATATGGATGACATCCTCCGAGAAGCCCAAAACTGATGCGCGCGTGCGAATAAAAAAAAGTTTTGCAAAAAAAAAAAGTTGTTTTCATTATGAAATCTACGTGGTCATGAGGGTTGAACAAATGGGGCAGAATTTGGTTTGGCGAATAATCTAGTCTTCAATTTCATTTCTTTACAATTTCGTCTTTTTTCGTTTGATTTTGGCATCCGGCATTCTACGACATTGGTATAGTTTTTATTTATTATTTTTTTGTAACTTACGGTATATTTTTGCTCATTTTGCAACTGTTTTGTACGATTTACAGTATGGTTGAAAACTTTTTTTTTTTTGAAACGGCCGAAAATTCATGCGCGCGCGGATGTCATCCATATAATCAAATCAACATGGCCTTAGTAGAATATTCTTTACTCAGTGACTGTTTTTGAAAGTTAGAAACACATACCTCCGAATTTTCGATGTCGACTGTACATCTTGATCACGGAGTGACCTAGTCTCACGAGGACACGAGTTCTCGCGAGTAGACTTACCCCTACTCCGCAAGGAGGCGGGGGAGGCCAGAAGACCCGCACAAGTCTTGTGTTCTCACCATACTACATGTAGGTCACTTGTACAGTGATCAAATGTACAGTCGACATCGCAAAATTTGGAGGTACGTGTTTCTACCTTTCAAAAACAATCACTGATTGATGACTATTCTACAGTTATGACCATGACATACATGTACATGTAGCTGGCATTTTTAACCATGGAACAAATCTGAAATTGAAGTAACAGTAACAGTTGTTCGTGGTTGACTTGTCCTGATTAGTTAGCAAAGTACAAAATACTTGTCGTTCTGACAGGTTGAACCGAAAACTTCTGTTCCATAGGTTAAACGAGGTCGCTGATGTGCCTGGAGCCAAGACTTTAAGTTTCCAGTCCCAGTTCAGATACAGGTAATTCTAATAACTCCCAAAACAGACAATCTTTCATTCTTAGTCTAACACTAGTTAGTAACAGTTTGCTGTGTTTTGATGGGGGTCATACAGACTCATACAGTAATATACTACATGTATATGTTGTTGTCTAAGAATGTTACACTTGTTTGCCATTACTAATTTTCAATATTTCAGTTGAACTCCATAATTTTTTATGTTTAATCTATAACAATTCCTTCTAAATTGGTAGGTGAACCAAGTACTGCATGCAAAATTAAAAGGAAATGCACATAGGAAAATGAATTACACGATTGTACATTGTACAATCAGAAAGATTATTTTTGAGTCGTTAATCGTACAATGTAATTCGAAGACTAACCTACATGTAAGTCTACGTTCGGATAATATATTTGGTCTCCTTTCAATGTGATCTCTTTAGATATACCAAACTTTGGTAATTGTCTACTTTTTTGTTATCTATTTGTTTTTATTTGTTTGTTTATTTGTTTGTTTTCCAATAGAGGAGAGACAGGCTCTAATGTTGGCAGGTACATGTGACACAGTTGTATAGGTGGGGAGGGGGGCAAGTGGAACTTTTAGTAATTGCATGTGGTGGGATGACCTTGCCAGTTTGACCTTGACTTACATCAACTTTGCAAAGGAGTGAAAAGGATCACTTGGAAGTCTTAAAGTCAATGCCGTAACATCGTTTGTAAAGTTCTTGTCAAGTGTCTTCTGTTGACACTGCAAAATGATATATAATATATAATATTTGTTTGTTTGTTTGTTTGTTTGGCACAACACTTCCATAGTCCTTTCTGCTCAACCTAGAAGCAATAACAATATTTTTCTGTCCTAATATTTTTGTCCAGAGCATGATGTGCATGATAAATTTGATTCTATATGATGCCAATGTTATATATAACAATGACTTATAAATTAAGATGCAATGACTACCATATGTAAGGCCAGAAAAATTTGATCATGCCCAAATATTGAAATGTATGATAAAAAAGGAGTCCTCTAATATCAATGCTGAAAGAGTTATTCTATTTCTAATCTCCAAGCAGATGTTGGGACACTAAATTGTAATATTTTCCCAGATGTACGCTTTTGTCACACACATCAGTCAAATTGTGACAAACAAGCAGCTAGAAAAACCTAATCATTTGATATCCTCCCAATGTCTGCTATTATTTAATCAACTACTTCCACATAAAGTAAAAGACAAACATAATGATGACCAGTAACTGTTGATATTATTATCATAGCTCCCTGCTTTGACCCAGTCAGGTAATTCAAAACCAACTTTGATAGAGAGCAAAACCCCATATTCTTACAAAAGAAACTTAATATATATTAAGTTTCATTAATTTTTGTATTGAATTTTTCTGGTCTATTGGTGAAGATAAAGGCAGTCATCAATGAAGGTAGAACATTACATAATACAAAACAAATCAACTACTAGATATATTCTCTTATGAGTCAGTTTTGGATGCTATCTGAAACTTCTGACTCTCCAGAAAACTGATTGTGTTGCTTGATTTGTTTTGTATGATAAATTATACATGTAGAGACCAGTCAAACTTTTCTAAAGTTTGTAAATTTGTACGCCAGCGGCAGGACTGCCAAGCAGGCCCAACAGGACAGTGAAGCCATACAGCAGCCGGAACCTTACGTGGAACGAGCACCCAGCAAGCGGTTTGACAGGAGAGGGGGAGGTCAGGGGATATGTCAATTTCTTGTCATTGACAGCGTTTGGATTAAATTCTGCCGAATTCTGGAACTGAAGCCAGAATTCTGGAACTAAAGCCAGAATTCTGCAGAATTCTGGAACTGCAGCCAGAATTTTGGAACTAGAGCCAGAATTCTGCAGAATTCTGGAACTGAAGCCAGGATTCTGGAACTGAAGCCAGAATTCTGCAGAACTGCAGAATTCTGGCTCCGGTTCTCAGAATTCTGCAGAATTCTTGCTCCAGTTCCAGAATTCTGCAGAAATCTGTAGAATTGGGTTAACCCCTTTGGTCCTCGATGGCTGCTACATACATGTATATGTACTTCTTACAAATTACACCTCAGAGAGACGTTAGGAATGCAAGAAAATTGTTTCCGACCATTTCCAAAAGGAATAGTGACTTTGGAAAAATTCACCTGTATAACGCGTTTCAGGCTCTAAATCATAGGTTTTGCACGGAAAAAAATGTCCAAAATTACATATTTTTACCTGTAGATAACAACATTAGCCCATCTAGATCTGGTCCCGGGCCGGGGTTCGAACCCATGGCCCCCGGGCGCCAGCTTACAAATCCGATACTCAAACCACTCGGCTAAAAGGTTTAGACCCATTGGCTGGGTCAGTTGAAAGCGCCTATAAACCCCCCCACTGTTACAGTTCTTTATGTATCTGGTTGTTGAGTCAAGAACCACAGTATATCTATAACTCTCTTGTGCCTGCTCATGTATCTCTTATTCACAATACCAGATCTTCTGCACAGAACAACTTCAAACTACCTAGACCTAAGACAAACAGTACGTCTGTAAGAAACGTTCATTCCTGTATCGTGCAATATTGCTGTGGAACAATCTACCATATCATGTTAAAACACTGAGTAACCTACTCAGGTTCAAAAAAGCTATCGCAAACAGTGTTACATGAACCTCATCCTCTAGTTTTTAATTTGTAAATATCAATTTGTGTTCATTGTAGATGTTTTGATGTATTCATGTCTTTTTAAATGTATTCACTGTTCTCTCACTGTAATTTCCATGTATGTGATTTTGTAATTTTAATGTTTGAGCCTTGGAAGGCTAGCCCTGTAGGGCTAAAAGGCTTCGAAATAAATGAAATAAATGAAGAGAAAATACTAAAAGTGGCTTTAATTTTGCATTTCTCAGATGATGCCAATGGTGAGGTGTACAAAGAGAACCCCTCTGACATCACCATGCCAACATCACCTGATGGGGTAACCATGGTGATGGCCCCGGAACCTGTATCAAGGTAGGACTACATTTTGTATTTAGTAGAGCTCTGTTACATACTGCCTGTCATGTGTAAAATATATGACATTTGTATTAACATTATTTAGTAGCTTGTAGTTAGTCTCTACCAGACTAACTACGCTGGCTATGTGAGGAGAATAGTTATTACATGTATTTGCCAGGGGAGTTTGGCCGCCTTGTAGGTTTGACTGGCCGCCTTGTAGGTTTGACTGGCCGTGCAGTTAGTCTGTCGAAAGTCGCAGTTTTCTTTGTAGTCCCCTAATCGCTATTTGATAGGTGTCAATTGGCTATTATAGTAAGTAATCCTTTTATTGCTTTGCCCGTGGACGTGCGGTGTCAGCTCAACATGTGACAGGAAGTGTCAGAGGTCACGCAAGAAATTGAAAATAACGGTCTAGTCTGACACTAGTGACAGTTTGTTTGTTGTTTGGAGTGGAGAAACAGCATTCACGGATAGATTCCAGGCTACATTTAATTAACACTTGTCTGTTCCGACAGTGGGAAGCAATATGCCAACGGGACAGCTCCAGGGTCAGCGGTGAGTGCCAGGTCTCTGCCCTGGGAACAGAGGGACGAAACTCAAGGGTAGGTACATGTACTAAGTAAAAACATGTCTACAAACACATTGTACATTGTGTACTAACATGTCTGGAAACACAAGTAAAATGGTCCCTTAGGCCACGCCAATTTAATTTGTTGGTTCTCAGATTTGCCTCTTTTTCTGATTTGCAAAAAAATATTCTGGCTCTGAATCAGCTCAAATATGCTCTTATTTTGCCCCCAACCGTTCAGGAAAGTCCTTTTCTTCCTAGTTGTTACAGATTTTCCATCCATTAATGCAGTGGTTGGATTAAAAGTTCAAAGTTCAGCATAGTACATGTAGTAGCATGACCCCCTCACTTGTACTGAATCTATTTGTTCATCAGTGGGCTGTTCACCTCCGGAGGCTCCCCCCGCTCCACGAGAAGCGTGGCGTCCAGCAAGAAGTTCCCGCGGTACCCGAAGAGCGGCAGCGACAGTGAAGGCCCGCGTAGAAGAAGGTAAAGAAACAAAGAAAGTACTGCATATACACGGTACTGAGAATTGTTATGTTAAACACATCTCAAGTTAATGCAGCACAAAGTTTGTTTTATGTATCAGGCCATGTTGATTTTCCTTTGTCATTTGCTGACAAATGACAAAGGAAGAATTGAAAGATGTTTTAACACATGTTTATTTCTGTCTGTCCCTGAAGACACCGGCGAGCATACAGCAGTGGTATGTCATCAGGCGACGACACTGACGCCCCAAGGAGAAGACGGTAAGAAAAGTCCTGGAGATATTTTTTTGTTTCACTCTAATGCTTAGTGAAAATGGAAGAAACCAAAGGCAACCACTACATTTCAATCTATAAGTTATTGTTATAGTATGTATGATTACTAAACTGATGAACATTGACTGATGAAGTTATAAGTATACATCACTCTATCTGCACCACTGGAATACCCATCAGTACTTCTAACAAGGAGTTAGATGTTGGACCATGTTGTCAGGAGCCTCTTATGACATGTCAGGAATGCCTCCTAGTGACCAAATTCTGCACTGCAGCTAAGGTGCAGTCAGCTACCAACATTTCAATTGGCAGCAATGCTAGTCTATAGAAAGAATAAAACAGTTACTGTAACTGAAAACCAAAAAAAGTTATCGTTCTTTAACATCATGAAGACCACTTTGATTTGGCCCTCTACCGAGGTCAACGGAACTGCAGCCGGCTCACCCTGGAACGCGGTTGCGTAATGCCACGCATTTATAACAGGGAAATCTTTACAATCCAAATCATACAGTATACAAGCCGACACCTTTCGCAGTTTACTCATGGCTACCTCTCACATAAGTCGCTCTAGCCAGGCTTCAAGAGTTTTGTCTGCACTACTTTCTATACCTGCTGTAAGATACCGTCTGTTTGATTGTGTGTTGTTGTGGGCCAGGTCCCGAGGGCGCAGTGGCCAGAGCAGTGGCAGCGAGTCGGAGGCCAACAGAAAACACCGGAAACACAGATCACGCTACTCTCAGCAGATGGTGGACTCCCACCAACAGTGGGAGGAGATCAGGAAACAACAGGAGGGACAGGAAGTCGTCGGGCAGGGGTGGGTAGTCAGGTCTCCGTTTTTTATTATACCACTTACAATTAGTTAAATTAGTGCTGTGTACCGATTCGCTGGTACATACATGTAGGTCCAAGTCTAGTGTGCAACTTACCTGCCTATGCAGGTGGTATTTTGAGCCCTGAATTATTTAGTTGTGCTTGTTGTTTTCATATCAATTATTATACTTATTTGACAATACAATCAATTAAAAAATCAAATTAAATATCAATACATAATGTGCCTTCACTGAGTTGGTTCTTTGAAAAATTTTTGATATTCCTTAATTCAAAAATCAGAGGGTTCAAAGTGCTAAATATTATGAAATAATTTTTAAAAAATAAGGGTGTGTTTTCCAGTACTAGCAAAACTTAAGACTTTGAGTTACTAGTAATTTCAAAATGAAAGTTTGTGCATGCTTTAAAAAATTGATTCCTGACTCTAGTGGAGATATCAGAAGAGAAGAGAACAATCTGTGTTCTGTCTTTCATCTACAGGGTACAAGCTGCTGTAGTAAAGGACCTGAAGAAAAGGTAAGATGGCAAACATTCAAGAAACAATAATTATCAGAGTTATCAACCAAGAATTGAGATGTTCAAAAACTCGTATTTCCCCAGAACTATCGTAGACTGGAACTCGTTGCCACCATGCAGGCACAGTTGGGGCATCATCACTAGAAAGCTTTGAACAACTCCTGCAAATAAATGTGCAAAGATTGAGTGTAACAGGTCATTCGGTGTGATATAGCTAGCTGCCGCCACGCCATGTGCCTGCGAAGCTGGTGTGTTACTAAGCTACAATGTATAAGAGCCCCAAAGACATCTGCTCCCGAAGACATCTGCCCCAAAGACATCTGCGTGAACATCCCAACAGCCCCAATCACTACATGTGTACATGTAAGACTGGATACCAGGGCTGGCTAACACATGACTGGCGAAGTCTGACATGATGTTTTTTGTTTCTGCAGACATGAGTCTCCACACCGCAGGAAACACAGATCCAGATCACGATCGCCTGACAAGATGAAGGAACTCTGGAAGCATATCCAGTAAGTCTTCAGTTCTGCATGAGGAAGTTGGGTGGGCACCGGTTTGCCTGAACCTGGTCCAACTCAGAATAACATTGATTTTCAAGAACCAAGACTAGTCCAAAAGCCTGAACTTTTGATCTGTTTCTCTTTTTTTTTTGGACTCATAAGAAAGTATAAAATTAATACATAGAACCAGATAATAAAAAGTCAACAAACCGTTCCCAATAGCATATAAATCAAGTTGAGTTAAATTAAATTAAATATACGTCTAATTTCATGTGCTTGAAGTGTGCATTGAAAATGTTATTAACAATTTTGAAAATGAATATTATTCCATTTAAAATTATTCACAGAACTTGTAAATGTCAACAAATATAACTGTTACAAAGATTTCCTTGTTCAGAATATTTTTGTATTGCTGAAATTTTTTGTATTCTTGTATATTTCGTATTGCTGAAATTGCATTGGATGCCTTTAATAGCTGTTTCCTAGATATCGTTCAGATATTCCTAACAGTCACCTGTAACTGCCCTGTCTTTACAGGAAAGACCCCATAGACACTGCAGGCATGACAGAAGACCAGCTCAAGGATATCACTTACAAGGAGGTTGAGTAAGTCTGTCAGAATCATTTCTTACTCATTTATTGTATTGGCTGAATTTGAAGATTGACTACTACAGTCACTGTCACACAGTAACAGTTCTTACTGTTGTGGAATAACTTAAAGTTTTCAAGTTCGTAGTCATACAAATTGCGATTTAAAGCCATGCATTTCTTGATTAAAATCCGTGCAAAAGCTGTGCGTTCTTGTTTAAATTGCGTCCATTTTCTCGTGTAAATGTTTGTGTATTCACATGTAGTTATTTGTTATAAATAGCCACACACAATTACAGCTAATCAGTGCACAACACATGGTTTACACCGCTTTTGCTTGAGTTTTTACTACGTATTACACAGATTAGGCCACACCAATTTAATTTGTTGGTTCTCGGATTTTTTCAGAAAAAATATGAAGCGACAGGGCGAAAAAAAATAAAAATAAAAACAGGTCTAGGCATCCTATTATAGGCTTAAATGCTACAAAATGAGACATGAAGTCAACACAAAAGGCTGGGTTAAAATGTAAACATTGAATTTTGAACTTTTAATCAAACCACTGCAATGATAGATGGGAAAACTGTAACAACTAGGAAGAAAAGGACTTTCCTCAACTGTTGGGGGGCAAAACATGAGCATTTTTCAGTTGATTCAGGACCAGAATCAAATTTTTTTTTTTTGCAAATCAGAAAAAACGAAGAGGCGAATCCGAGAACCAACAAATTAAATTGGTGTGGCCTTATGCACGGCTTTCAATCGCAATTTACAGGGTTTTTTTTTATAGAACCACTTCTAACACGATAACTTTAACTTGTTTGAATTAGACACATGTATTCTACATGATTAGGACTGGTGACCAAGCGCAATGAAGAGGTGGAGGTTCCATGTTTTTCTTCCCGTAGGTCACACCAATTTGATCTGCTGGTTTGGGGACATTTTATATAATTATCAAGATAAAAAAGAGGACAGTACAAAGACAGAAGACTGGGGGTAAAACCTGCATCTGACGGCACCTGAAACTTTATGTACAGAATTTACCCTCAAACTGTTTTCATGTTGATGTTCCAATGGAGCATTATTTTCTAAATCCCAAAACCAACAGAATGATGACATTGGTGTGGCCTTAACTTGTGAAGACTTAGTTAAACTGTGTTGTAAACCACACAATAATCATGTAACTCCCCTCACTTGTCCGCCAGCCTCCCGAAGTTGAAGCAGTCTCCGGGATACCGCCGTCGACGCCCGCGATCTATCGGCCGGTCAGACCAGGAGACGCCGCACCAGAGCGATGTGTATGTCTGTCACTTGTCCTTGTCACTGCCTGTTAACGTTACACCCACCATGGGCAATTCCTCTGCTCAATATACAATGTAGTGGGAAAGATTTCAAGTCAATCATTATACCAAAGGTACTTAGATGTGGTTAGTAGAGGTTGAAGCACTGTTACAGGTAGTGTCAGTACAAACACCTTAACTCAGGCCATTTTGAAATACAGGAGTGAGAGTATGAGAAATACAGTCATGTAGACTAAGTATAATTGCAATGCATGTACATAATAATATCATGCATCTACATGTAACTTCTCCCAGCTTTGGCTAGTTTCAATTGATTTTAGAGTGCAGAAAATGCAGTTTCAAATGATAAAGAAGAAGAAATATATTGCACAATAATTGATCATTGCTGTATAATGATTACTTTTCACCAAACAGCAGTCACCAACTTTGATATAATAATTGTAGTTCTGATATGATAATTTTAAATTAGTGTGCAGAAAACAAGATGTCAAATAATGACTTGTTAGTGGTACAGAATTTTGTCAACACAAAATAATTTTTATAAAGGATAAGGGTTTATGATGAAGGACTGATGATATTTTCTGTGGATTCAGAGAACTTATAATTACAGTTGTGTAGTCATACATTTTGTAACTGGTTACCAGTTTCTTTTAAATTAATTTAAGTTTATAGTATATCTTTGGGGGAGCAGTGTGCACATTTTGCACTTTCTAAATGTTAATTATAAGTCAGTCTGCACTTAAGATCTTCACATTCTTAACCACCACTCTTACAGGAAACCACACCCTCCTCCCAAGACAAAGGAGCAACAAGATGTGGAGACTTACTGCTAACATTCTTAATGCTTAATCTTCCTTCTTGGTTTCTTTAAGGACTTTGGTCTTGTGGTGAATCTTTTTTTTTTAAATCTGCAAGCTACTTGGTGGCCATGGTGGCTAATATAGTCTCATTTTTCTATGGCGTGTACTTTTAGTGTTTTTTTTTTAATGTTTATCAGAATTCTTTCAATGCAGAGAAAGGTGCCTTTCAAAAGCTAATTGTCTTGTGTCTTTGAAAACAATATAGAATTTGATACTATTTTATAATAATAGCACAATCATTGTAAATTTAAGTTAAGTAACAGTTACTGTTGTAATAAAAAAATTGCGGTCATGTAAATAACTGTTGAGTATAATTGTAAACTTTGATTATTTGCTTGGGACAAGACAATTTTTTTGTTTTCTGACTCTTAAGACACTTGTTAAGAGCACAAAAAGCAGCAAAATGGCTAACTCTGTGTATAATGTTTTTGATGTACATTTAATGGTGATTCTGAAACTATCATCATCACAATAATTCTTCTTCAATCTGACACTATACAAAGGCAAAACTGTGCCTAAGTATGTTGTTTGTTGTAACTTAAAGCTTAAAGATTCATTTGAAAGTGTCTTATAAACAATACCCATTTTTCTCAGACAATGACAGAAAATCATACAGATTTACAATTATAATTAAATGGCCCTACATGTCACAAAACCATGTAAATTGGTGGGAACATACTTGTACTGTACATGGTAATTCTGGGTATGAAATGTGTACAATTATTGTTTCAGTTGCTGATTATGCAATGTATGTATTACCAAAAACTGAAAGTAGGAAAAGAAGTCATTGAAAGGAAATTTCTTTTTGCAGTGAACAGACATCAGTAAAATCAAGCTACACTACTGATATATGGACACAAAACAACAGTTCTTTTATTTTTGAATAATAATCTTTTTGTTTACCTCTAACGCTTCTTCAGTACACAAAATGCACTTCTGACCAAGTTGTAGGTGTTTCCTAAGAGGTTGTGGTTCGCTTGGGGTGTCAGGTTTCTCCTTACTTAGTGGGTATAAGCTGGTGTGTCTAATGATGATAATTATCAATGAGTAAGTCTGGATCCACCATTGCACCGGTCAGCTAATGCACAGGTTGGTCGCACATTGTACAAATGTGGGGGAGGGGGGCTTTTACATTGTAGGTCATGCCAGTTAATTTCTATATATAAACACTTGTCCTTGGGTTTTCATATCTTACTGGCCCGGGGATTAGCCCGGGGTTAGGTTAGCACAGGTAAAGGGTTTTTTTTTTTTTTTTATTAAAAACAAGATGCTGTGAGTGCTAAAGAGTTTATGCTTTGAATCATCATACTATTAGAGAGCTTAAAATTATGCATCAGCCTATATGCTTCTCAAAGGCTAGAAATGAACAGTGATAATAACCCCCTTCTGTAACGGAAAAGATACGTAGAACGCTTTTTGGAGGGCTATTACATATTACTTTAAAGGCATCCCATGCAATTTCAGGGTGACAAAACTGGACTTTTTCTGGTCATTCTTCAATGTTAGATTAAGTTCAAATTGAATTAATTCTACTCCATAGCATACTGATATCTCAAAATCTTTTTTTGGACAAAGCAAAAATATGATGTCACTGTAGGAAAACCCTTGCTTCGACTATGTATTGAAGGCTGGTTCTAGCTATTTATGGGTGGTACCCAAAAAATAGGCATGCCTCCCTAAGGTTGTTTTGGGGCTATTTCAAAACAAGTAATAGTATAAAATGATGATGAAAATGTGCTAAGAAATAGCAGTAGATGTCAATATCAGACAGATTTCCTCATCCAGAAATTTTTTTTTTTCATTTGCCACCCTGAAATTGCAAAATTCATCTTTAAGGATCTAGGAAAACAGACATTTTACTCTGCCCTGTTCCTCACAGAGAGCTGAAGATGGTTCCCGCGCTCCCAATCACACACGGATACCAGAGCGGGAACGAGTCAGTCCGCTCCAACCCGGCGCACCCCCCGCAGGACGACCAGCCCCCGCCGCCCTACACCCCGCCTCAGCACAGCACGCCGCGCAAGAACCCGGAGGGACGACGCACTGCCAACAACGAGCAGCGCCCGATCTCACTTCCCACAGAGGTGCTGTTAAAGATGCAGCAGACAGGCTACCCCGGCCTGTCGGACCAGCTCACTAACGGGGAGGACATCAGCAAGTCCGTGTTTGAGGTGGACTCAAGAAGAAACGAGCCAGCTTCCATACATGGTGCATATTTCTTAAGTATTAAAACTGGATAGTGATTGAGTGAGTGAGTGAGTGATTGAGTGATGGAGTGATTGATTGATTGATTGATTGAGTGATTGATTGATTGATTGAGTGAGTGAGTGAGTGAGTGAGTGAGTGAGTGAGTGAGTGAGTGAGTGAGTGAGTGAGTGAGTGAGTGAGTGAGTGAGTGAGTGAGTGAGTGAGTGAGTGAGTGAGTGAGTGAGTGAGTGTGATAGGAACTTTGTATGGCTTTCACATGCGGTGAATGTTTCCAAAACATGGTATACAAATTTTGGAGATTCAGCTGAGCTTAACCCTTGTCCTGCTGGCATTCCTGGCACAATATTTTTCAATAATTTCATGTCTTAATTAGATCATAGACCCTCAAATTTTTTTGACCTGCAGTGGCTTAGTTACATGTACTTCCGCATTTGTTGCATTTCGCTGTGGTGTGATGCAACCCAATACCCCCAAATCGTACCTATACAGGGTGCTATATATTAGATGGTACTGTATGTGCAGAACAACAATTGTTGTGCTCCGCAGGACAAGGGTTTAAGTCAATTTGTGGTTACCATGTTTAAAGTTAAAACTTTTGATCCAACACAAAAAGTTCTCTCACCTAGAGCTTTTGATCAGAGGGACTGGTTGAAAGCTGTTGGATCAAATTTGTGTTGTGTTGTGTTGGATCAAATTTAACTACCAACACAGATGAACTTTCATGATAATTCGGGTACCACCCTCCCCTCCCAAGGCATGAGCAAGTCTTCTGCGGTGTTATCGGGTGAGACGAGGAGAGACAGTCCTGCGTCCCTACGGGGTGCGGAGGAGGCGAGGTGGAGGTCAGAGATCAGGACGGGATCATCCAATCAGCAGCTGGACAGGAGGCAGCCGCCCGACGGGAGATACCATGTGAGAGAAATTTTTTCTGCCGAGATTATACCACTTCACAGCATGTCAGCAGAGCGTACTGCGCCTGTGCAAAACCCAAGGTTTTTCACGGTTTGAAGTTTGGTTACCGTTTGCCTGTTGCAGATGATATCTTTTCCGACAGAACATTTGGAAACTACAGACGGGATGTTAACCTTATATGTGTGAATACAACCTTATATGAGACGTTCTACCGCAGTGCTATGCACAATACATTACAGGTTTCGCGAAGGTGCAGTACGTTCTACCAAATTGAATGTGCTTCGCTTCACTAGATTTAGTTTCCTGATCCTCAGACATGTTTGAAGGCATCCAAATGACTGCAATTTCAGGGCAGCAAGACAAAAAAATATTCCAGACTAGGAAATATGATACATGTAATTCACATTTAGTGCCCGTTTTTGGCACATTTTCATCATCATTTCATACTTGTGTTTGAAATAGCCTAAAAACAAGCTACATGTATGTGAGGCACGTCTTTATTTTTTGGGTAAGGCCTATGAATAGCTAGAACCAGCCTATGTTACAAAACAAGCACCAATTTTCCATCAGTGACATCACATTTTTGCCTCACACATATCAGTAATACATGTATAATAAAAGAGAGGATTGCTTCAACTTACTGCATGAAAAAAATGACCAGAAAATACATTTTTGCCACCCACAAATTGCATTAGATGCCTTTAAGTGAAATTTTAACAAGAGATGAAGTCTGTCAGATGAAAACAGAAGGCTCAAAGCAAAACTTGCATCTGCCTTTACTACATGTATAACTGTGATCACCCCTGAAATGAAACTTTTCTCCCCCCCCATGTACAGAATGGCGCGCCCCTGTCCAATCAGGATCTCCGACCACCATTTAAGGAGATAGGAAATGGCAGGATGGAGCCAGCTCTGTAAGTTCTAAACTTCTACTTGGAGTTTATTGTGGTTATCAACTTGAAGGAAATGTTTGAGCTTCTTTCAATCTATATGGTTTACAAGTTAAAACTATAGTATGTACAAAAAAAATGATGTACCATATGATGTACCATATAGAGTACAAATGGGGAAAATACAAAGTTACTTAATAAACAATGTTGTCTGAGCATTAGTCACAAGCCAAACTCCTAGACGGGCTTTGTATATGCAACAAGACATTAGACGTATTCTCAGACCAGAACATTTCAGTTTGAGTCAGTATCTGGGTTTAAAAATACTGCTGACTCAGCTTTTAACCTATTACTACTTAATGTAGTAGAAGACTTTAGTACATTCTGCTTTTCCTTTCATTTAAAATGCTTTAATTTTTTTTTAAATTTCTTTTGGTGGTGCTGGTACTTTGTTTTTCAGTGACATCATTTTTCTTCATCTTGTTTTCTACTGGTGGACTTTTATAATTGTTACAGTCATCTAATGTGTTTCCTTGACTTTTCTCCTATGATTCTTGCTCTGCTCAGTGCTGAATGATTGCGGAGTTAAGGTTTTTCAGAGAGTCTGGTAGGTGTGGTCCCAGGAAAACATTTCAGCGCTAGGGACTAGGTGTTAGTCAGATGGTACATGTAGGCCTGCACTTTAGCTGCATGCGTTTTACATCTAACTTACATGTAGGTTACTAGTTACTTATTTTAGTAAAGTAAGTAACTGGATAGATTTTGGAATGGTTAGATGCCTAAAGCGTCGGTCATAACCCGCCGTGCGTGCTTTTTGTCTGTACATTTTTTCGGAGGCCACTTCTGCTACATTTTTCTGAAAACGTGCGTTGTACGCTCATAGGCTGTACAGGGCACGCGCGTCGCCCATACTCACACGTACAGGTGGTGAATCTGCAGACAGCATGCATGAAAAGTTTTACATGTACTTAAAGTTCTACGGCGTGTCTGCGTGCTCCCAAATACATAGGATTCCGTACAGAGGCGGTACTCACCACTCACGGATGCCCTACGTTTGCCCACGTTTTTGCACAATGTCATATACAGCACGCAGATGCACATACGGCGGGTTGTGACCTTTGCTTAAGGTAGCATCTGCTATCTTTGGTCACTGATAGTCTCTGACAAAAAAAGTAGCGGATGCTACCTAAAATGTCTGACTATTAAAATCTATCCAGTTGCTTTAATAATTGTTATCTCTGGTATGGCCTAACCTTCATCAATCTGTCACAGAATATTGTTCTATTGTTCTTTTGCTCTTCATTATTTTCTTCTGAATTATTGTATTTCTCAGTTTCTTTTGTTTTGGGTTCCTATTTCAGATCTATTTTTTGTTAGGCCACACCACTACATGATTGACAATCATGTGTAACGTGGGGATTATATCTATATATCACCAAAGGTCAGCAAAATCTGCAGTGTTACATGGGGATTATATTTTATATATCACCAAAGGTCAGCAAAATCTGCACCGAAAACTAGTACTGCCATATGGCTGATTCTTGTCAAGTCACAAACTTGTCTTTATTTCACTGTGTTGTTCACTAGTCTACTAGTAAATCATTCTGCTTACCGAAATTCTTCACAAAGATTAATACAAATTGAAATGAAACTTCTCACTGTGACAAACTTTAGGATAATGAAGGACACAGTACTGGTGTGGTCTGAGAATATAATCACCCGTCAACATGGAATCTCCCTTTTAAATTCCCATGGTGTCAACTTGACTCTGTTTCTTTAAAATGTAGACAAGAAGTCAGAAGAACACCCCCTACAGTGGACCGGTCCGACCGATCAGCCTTCCAGACCCTGCCGCCATCCAAGCACCTCCCTACCTCGACAAACGGTACCGCTAGATCGACGAACGGACGCGCGTACCCGGACGCTGGGCAGATGCGTCACACTCCATACTCCAACAGCCGCGGAGTGACGCCACCCTACCAGCCTCCCTCCGCCAGCCACCAGCAGCCTTCACGTCTGCAGCAGAACTTCTACAAGAACAACGGCCGCAACGCCGCGCCGTACGGGAGCAGGACTTCCGCTCATCACGGCGTGCCGCGGGGGGAGGGTGTGTACGCGCCGCAGCCGTTCCGCGCGGTCCGTGACGGCCCGGAGGAGCTGGAGCGACAGATTAGGATGATGATGCAGGCGCCGAACAGACACCACGAGTTAGCGACAGAGTTGTAGCACGAGATGTAGCACGAATTATAGCACGAGAGAGTACATGTTTTAGGTACAGGGAAAGAAACATGCCTGTAGCAGGCCTCGAAATTAAGTTTGCAGAGTAGACAGGGGATCCAAATGCCTGATAAACGAAAGAAGGGCTGATTATTTTTTTGATTTATTATTTTTATTATGGTACTGAAAATGTCCCAAAGTGTCTTTTTAGTTGTCCCAGCCTAAATTTTAGTGGTCAGTGGCCATTGGACCACCTTTAATTTCGAGCCGTGCTGTAGGCCAGGAGTAGCCTCTGCCAGGCTCCAGGAAGTGGCTGGAAAGAGAAGAAATTGACGAGGAAGACAGATAACATAGTACCAGGAGTGTTGGTCCACTAGAGAGTACATTTGGCGGCAAAATCTCTATCAGACTAACTCCCCTGGTATGTTATCTGTCTTTCTGGTCAATTTCTACTCTTTCCAGCCACTTCTGAAGCCTGGTAGAGGCTAGCCCAGGAGCTGGATGACCTCAGTTACAATGTACCTTCCTCCATATTGCACAGTCAACAGCCCTTGACTCTTCTGTCTCTAGACTAACTCGTGTCTTTCTTGATCTAGTCTGTTCATGTACCGTATTGACTTGTAAACCAAAGATTGTAGTGGACTCTTGAAACCAATTTCAGATCACTTTAGAGATTTTTTTTTTTAATTTTTGCGGGGACCTAATTTTTGTCGTGTTTTGTTGAAAATATCAAATTTTAAAATCAACACACTACCAAAAACGCTTTTTCTTGTTTTTCTTATTTTCTCATGGGAAGAAAATTTTTCTTTGGGGGAGAATAATAAGAAAAAAATAAGAAAAAAATAAATTTTCTGTATACCTACGTTCTTGCACCAAGAACAATTTTCTCATTTTTCTTGAGTGGAGATAATTTTTCTAAAATAGGCTTCTTTAAATCTTGATTTTTCTTTGGTGAAGAAATATTTCTAGAGGAGATTCTAACTTACAAGATTAGAATTCTTGTAATCTTGAAATTTCTTTTTAAATTAGTAAAGACAATATTTCTAGGGAAGATTCTAAGTTACAAGATTAAAATTCTTTTAATCTTATATTAATTAAAATTCCCTCAGACTTAGTTAAAGTTTCTTATTTAATCTCCATGGAAGATTTCTTTCTTACCTGACATCAAAGTGGTCAGATTTAAGATTTTTTTTCTTGTGTATTTCAAAAAATTTCTAGTCCATGTTACCGAGAATGATTGAAAAAGGCTATTCTTGTTTTTCTTAGCAATGTTTAAGAAAATACAAGAATTTGGTTCTTGTCTTTCTTGGGAAACACTGATTGGAAAAGCAAGAAATTTAATTATCTAAATCTATTATTAGAATAAAGCTCTGCTTAGTGTTTCTTGTTTTTCTTGGCTAAGAAAGCTGAAGAAAGATCATTCTTGTTTTTCTTGGCAACATTTAAGAAAATACAAGAATAAAGTTCTTATCTTGCTTGACAAATACTGATAAGAAAAAAAAACCCAAGAAAGTCTGATATAAAATTGATCTTTGATTAGGCTGATCTATGAAGATATGGCTAGTATTATATTCTTAAACATTCTTGATTTTCTTCCCTAGAAAGTTTAAGAAAGGCCATTCTTGTTTTTCTTAGCAACATTTAAGAAAATACCAGAAAGTTTAAGAAAGATGATTCTTATTTTGCCTGGTGATGTTCAAGATGATGTAAGAACTTTTTTCTAGTTTTTCTTGTCATGTGACCTTTTCTAAACCCCTGATTGGTTGATTCAAATCCCAGAATGCAGTTAGGGGGTTTTGAACATAAGTCAGATGTAAGAGTCGCGCTGCTACTTTTTTTGTCAGTTACTGACTCATGTCAGATTTGAAGTCAAAATCAAATCAAAAAGGACCTTGTGTACATGTGAAGCAATGGGGATCGTGGTCAGCTTGCTGAAGAAACCAACTTTGCAACAGAAAAAGCATGAAACCAAACAGATTGAAGGTAAGTGCGCCCCCCTCCCCACCTATAAGATCTGTTGACATTGTTTTTCGACTTCATAGCCCAGATATTGTTACAACGCCATTGGGGTTGATTTCAAAGTCAAATCATATATCTCTGGTGTATTGTATAGTAAAGATTATTACAGTGCTTTCTAATACAATTTTAAATTGTTTACTCCAAGTAATAGAATAGTATTTTAGCATCCTCTTTTGACTCGTTGCCTTCAGTACACGCATGCAAACTAACAGGTCTTTCCTGTTGTTTTTCAGGTGTCCAAAGGGTGTGGCTTTGCCAATTCTATAATGCGAAAACTTCAGTTTTTGCTGAATATGTTTCTGATCAGAATGTGATACGATCTGTATTCTGAAATCATAATGGCTTGTTAGTTACATTGTATAATATTTTGAAAGTTACTGTTAAACTGTTTCCATTCCAAGAATGTTGATGGACCGATTTTATATTTTTAATTAGATACATTGTACAAAAATCAATGTGATAATAAACATCTCTGTACTGTCCAAATGCTTTTCAAAATAACATTTAGTTGCTATACATTTGATTATTGTCTGTTTTATATTTAGGTAGCACTATATACATTGTATTTCTTTTCTTGTGGGAGGAATGGTTTTCTTGCTACAAGAACAGAGTCAGCTCTTATTTCAAGAAATCTTTCTTGTGTACAGAATGGTTTTCTTACTATAAGAACAGTTAGCTTCATTCAAGAAATCTCTTCTTGTGGGCAGAATGGTTTTATTGCTACAAGCACAGTTAGCTCTTAGTTCAAGAAATCTTTTCTTGTGGGGAGAATATTTTCTTGCTACAAGAAGAGTTAGATCTTAGTTCAAGAAATCTTTTCTTGTGTACAGAATGGTTTTCTAGAAAACTTAGAAATTCTTACTACAAGAATAATATTCTAAGGATATTTAGTCCAAGATACATAAGAAAAGAAATCTTACCACAAGAAAAATATGCTAAAATGCAGTTTCTTGAAATTCTTGTCTCATGGACAAGATTTTTTTCTTGGGTGAAGAATAATTTTCTCAGTGGAAGAAAAGTTTTCTTCTCTGAAGAAAAACAAGATTGGCATTTTTGGTAGTGCAGTAATTAGTTCAGAGTTTTAGCTAGATTTTTTTTCATGTTTCTTTTCAATGACACAGAAGATAGAATAGGAAATTTGACAATAATCCTACAGAAAGTTCTTCCTGTGTTTATTGAGAAGTACATTCAAACCTGGTGCAGCCACCTTCGTACATTGTGCCTCCAGTCATATTATTCTTGCACATCAAAACAGCCCTGTCTAATTTTACACTATGTACATCACACGGTCTGCTAACAAATTGTGTTACCAAACCAGCAACCACTTTTTGTGGTCCCTGGGGGCTTTCATACATGTACCCCAATTAACAACGGTAAACCAAAATAGACGGTACGCAGGAAAAATCAGTGAAGCACAGTGATATTGTGCAAATACAAATTGAACCATTGGAACTATTTTACATACTTATATGACACTGAGACACCGGAAGCACTTTTTTTTGGCTGCGTTATATAGAAACAGGCAGTGCCACATTTGATAGTCCCAATGTAGTAAAACTCGCCAATGATGGTTTAGCTCCCTGCCAAATTACCTCCCCACTGCTTGACTCCCTTGGCCAATTTTACTCTCTTTATTGCCGAATTCTATGATCCGTATTCCCGTAGAAAGGCCTGGTGGAGGCTAAAAAGACAGTTAGTAGTAAGATTTAGGATGTGTGAAGTCGTGGTGTCTGCTCGGTGCCCACATTTCCATCCTGACCCGTCACGTTACATCATGTCTACCAGACTGCACCAGTGTTCATAATTTACCTTTTTCCCATTCCCAGGATGGTTGATGTACGATATGCTGTTAACGTTATACAACTTTTTCTGTGTGTGTCTTTGAGCATTTTGTAATCAAAATTAGGCAACTTACTACAGGTCGGATCTGACAACAAATTAGTGTGAAATTCTTGTGTTTCTCGACGTGTAAACGCGGAACATAACATTGTGGTTTACTCCACGTATCTCTACAGTGGTGATGTTATGCCATCAGTATTAAAGGAGATAAAACTATTTTTTTTTTAAATGCAAGAATATTAGGGGAGCAACCTTGATTATTTCAGATTTTGAATCTAAAAACACCTGGCACTATGCATGCTGGGAATGGGGAAAAGGTGAATGCCAATATTAGCCTACACCAATTTTATTTTTTCTTGGTTCTCTACTCAGCTTCTTTCTTTTTCATTTTAAAGTATTAAGAGACCATGATTCTTTGCCTTTCAGTCCAAAACATTTGTCAATTTCGATGGTTCATTGTTTGAAATTTTAACCAGCTACGTAGATATGTTGATTATTTTCCAACAATAATTTGAGAACCAAGAGCTTCATTTTGGTGCAGCGTAATATGTGCATTGTTGTATTCATAACAGTGAGGATACTTACATTGTAGTCTAGTTATGTGGTATATTACACAAGGTATCATTTCTGGTGCCTCTTTATTCACAGGAAGATGTATTCCGTAGATGTAGATTGGTATGGGGGCCTGCATGGAGGGGTCCCGACAACGCTCTACGCTAAATTTAAAAGTATTATGCTGAATTCAGGAAAACTCTCAATTATGCTCTACGTTAAATTCCGTTTGGCTACAACGCATTACGCAGAAATAAAACGGCGAATTACCCTCTACGCAAAATGCGCCAATTACGCTCTACGTTGAATTAGAGCGGTCCGTCTATGCTCTACGTAGAATTAAAACGGTTGATTACGCTCTACGGAAAAGCCCCCTGGTATGTGTACTTTAGCTTAGATAATATTTTCTATTATCTTTCCATATACAACAGTTACTGTATATTTAACTTGGTGAACAAAACCATGAAACTACTAGTACATGTATGTGCACTAATAACACTTATGACACAGTTTATGTTTGGATTGATACAGTTTATATTTGGAAACTTATAATTTTATGTCAGAGACCTCAGAAAAATCTTCAATGTACAATGTACATGTATGATTTCATGTTTGCCTTACTGTGTGTATATATTATATTTCATTATACCCTTTTTCGGATTGATCTCTGCAAATATTAAAGTTGATAACTGTGAAAATTTCTACTCTTTGACAATGGAAGGCCAAGAAAATGATAATTGATATTCTTGTATTCCTACCTGGAATTATAATATATGACTTACAAAAATGTGACAATAATACTAGAGACAGTAGAGGATCTGATAACAC